AATAATTCCGTATACATTAATTTTTTAAAAAATTATAAAAAAATAAATCATTATAAAACATATGGAATTTTGATATAAAATCATTAATTACGTATACAAACCTTATAAAAAACATATTGTTTCCTTATTTCGATTTCTTATAGGGTATCTTTTTTTGTCATAATATGATATTATATAAAATTTAAATATATAAAACATTTAAATCAAACATTAAAAATTTAAGTTTATAATATTATTGAATTAATTATATATAAATATATTAGATATAATGGTATAATATAATTATATTATAATATCATATGTAAATTATTAGTCTAAAATATAATGAAAGACAATACTAGGGAACAGAAACTGTTTCCTAAGTCTGAAACTTGTGTAATAAAAGTAACAAATCATTTATTGACATAATTTTTGAGCAAACAAAAATCAGAATACCAAGCATTCTAACTAGAATACTGTAAAATTGAATCAAATATTTGTTAAACCAAATCAAATTAAATCAAATATTTAATAAATTGAATTAAATATAAAATTTTTTAATTTTTACAATGATATATTAAAATAAAGTTGTTCTAAAGTTTTAATTAAGAAAATGATTAGTAATTACACTAATAAGTTTCAAAGATACACCTTTACAAAGTAACTTTATTAAGAAAAACTTAGTAAACAACTCTATAGCTTCAATTTTACTAAGAAAATATAGTAATAACTGCTATCATAGTTTCAGTTTTACTAGTAATAATTGACATTCGTTGCTTTATTAAAATAATTTCATTTTTATTTGGATGATGATGCTCTAAATGACATCAAATATTTGTTGTATTTGGATCACCAATATTGTGCCACCATGATTTTTCCTATAAAATCTCTTAAAAAAAAATAATAATAACCCACAATACAAAAATACATCACATCTAACTTTTGAATTTTTATGTTCAGGTGGAAGAATATTTTCTTCAAAAAGTTCTTTGGCAAAAAGCTCACTTCACAATGCTTTTCGTTTTCAAGAGAAGCTATGTTGTCGGAATTAGTAAGGTTGATGGTTTCTCTCATTATTTAAATTGTAGTCATTTATATCATTTAATTCAGGCTCAAAAACCAATAGAAATCGCCTTAGAAATTATATTTTTAAATAGTTAAAATGAAAATTTAATATTGCTAGAAAAATGGGGATTCTAAGAATTTTTTGATTTTTATTGCATTTTAAATTTTTGATAATATTAAATTTTAGTCAATAAATTCTTAGAATCCCACATTTTATAGTAAAATCAAATCGATTCGAATTTTAAGCAATTGAATCAAGATCAAATAAATTATTCTTAATTTGAATTGATTGAAGATTAATTTATTTTCAAATTATAAATTGAATTACGGAATCCTATAAAATCATTAAAAGAAAGTTTATAATTTTAAGTCTAACGATAAGGAATATAATATTAAATGATTTAATTTCTATTAAACTTTATAATAGATTTATTTTGGTATATTAATAGATGTAATTGGTGGTTATACAATTGACCTTTAATAAAGTAACGATATGAAGAGTCTATAAATGATTTGTAACACTGTTCCTCTTAATCACAAGAAGTCTATTTTAATTGTGTTTATACTTTTGACCAACACTGTATCACATTTTATGGAAATACGTCTGCATTTCTCACATGAATTTTCACGTTTGCTATGATCTCGTCATTAACCTTCTTTTTTTTTGAACTCGCGATTTAAAAAATAAATAACTAATGTAAATGATAAATATACAATAACTTTAATGATTAATTCTATAATTATTATAGGATTAGAATATATACACTTAACAATATATAACTTTTTTTTTCAATTTTGTATTTAACCTTTTCCACTATTACTCAAATCAGCTAATATAGGTATCGTTTGATCGAAAGTGTCAACGATTTCCATTCGAGTTTCACGACATCCATAAGCAGAAGGAATTATCTCAATTAAATAATTACGTGGAATAGCTATTCTTGGAATTTCCTATAATAAAGAATAAAGTTAAATACAAGAGGAAGAACTTGATAAATAATTTGAATTCATATATTACATCTTCTGGTCGATCAAAAAGGTACGCGTATAGACATCTTAGTACTGTCTCGTTAGCAATTATAAGTACATCGTTTTTTTCGTGTTCAAGTTCCAGAATAATAGATTCTATACGAACTGCCAAGTCTTGATATGACTGTTAAATATTAAAGTCCAATAAATTCGATGGTCATGGGTTTATTAAAGTTCATTTCAATACTCACCTCAGCTCTTGGGTAACGATGGTGATATGGATCCTTTTGTTGTTTTACATATTCTTCGGGAAATTTGGCCTATATATAAATTCTGTTATCAATAACGTGAAATTTATAATATCTTCCTAATTTATGCTTTTCAAAAATTTACCTTAATCTCTTCAACGGTAAGAGAATCGACTTCACCTAGATTAATTTCACCCAGCAATGGACGTTGATGTACAGTATAACCTTCATCAAGGAAAGGTTTTGCCGTTTGATATGAACGTCGAAGCGCTGAAGTCCAGATCTTTAAAATAAATTTCATATAAATTTAAATTCTGCACGTCCAGTCCAGTATGAAGATAAAAATTATAATAACGCTACCGCCAACATTCTTTCATCGTCACCCCATCCTTGTTCTATGCGTTCTTTTTTCTCTCTCTCCCTTAAGTTAATCAAAAAGTTTTTTAATGTGTAAGCATATCGAATTCCGGCGGGACTTAATTCCGCGTCAGCTCTTTGGGATACTTCATTCATTGATTCTCCTGACTAAATAATGCAAAAAAAATGTCAGAATAATTATCAATATTAACAAATCATCATATGTCATCACCGTACTCTAGCAAAATATATAATCCTTGGGGAGATGTGCAAATTCATTAAATAATATACGATACGACTCTAAAATTTAAATAAATGAATTTAATAAAAGGCTTCTATGAAATTCATTACATCATATGCCATTTATTAATGCAAACCTGAAGATATCCCTTTACGTTATTTACAATTATGCGTTCACCAACGTTAATCATTTTTACAAAACTTAATTCCGTATTTGTGATTGTTTCGTAATGACTCAAATGAGTATTTATACGCGTCTAAATTCGCACAATATATAAAATAACCTTTAGTAAATAATATTAGTTAATTTAAATTAAGAAAGATAACTAACCCAATAATCTTTTACGGCTTCTTCAGGATCCCAGCCAATATACTAAGGAAATGAATGGATTCTTTAATTTTTATTTCGTTAAAGTATAACTTGATTTCTCCGCAAAAAAAAAAAAGAAAAGAAAAGCTAATCATACATCTGGTGAAGTGATTTTGACACTTCGTATATTCGTTTCTATGATTTCCGGTTTATCACATATTGATTCAATAAAGACAGGCTATAAAATGGAATTGTTTCTTATTTAATAATAAAAGGGAAAACCAGTTAAAAATTAGAATATACTCACGTGAACATTATGACTAATTAAGGTGTCATGTATTTCTTTACGTCTATCTTGAGTTGTGTTACTGGCGTCATAAATGCCAACCTGTCCTCCTTCCTGTAACCATTGAATCATATCTTGTAAACATTCCGTTGCAATTTTGTGCCGTGCCTCAGCGGTCTCGATATTTTCTATTTTAATATTAATGTAATTAAAAGCAATTCGATATATTAATTGAGAAAAGAACAATAGCTTCTTACCTACCAGGATCGAAAAAATCATGAGGTAAACTAGCAGCAGTTCCCATAGCTTGACGACGATAATTCCCTACGCTAAATACTTTAGTATGAACACCTAACCATCGAAGATACCGACATAATGAACGCGCCACGTGAGTTTTCCCTCTTGCTGGTAAACTTGAGAAATAAAATAAAATTAGATCTAGTTGGGTGGGAAAAAAAATAATTTTTGTTTTTTTTTAAAAATTTATTATTAATGAACTTACCCTACAGTAATGATTGCTATCTGTCCAGCGTGAAATAAACGTCCTGAGGAAGTTTTGTAAAGTTGTGCTGCCATTGTTATTAAAAATTAAAATTTGCGCTCGATTTCTTTTTTAAAAGAATATCTATCATACAATCTATGATATAACTTGATTTGATTGTGGCGAAGCAATAAAGTAAAAGATAAAGTTCGATAAGAAATTTTCGAAACCTGATCATCACTATAAAAGGTACGACTGAATTTAACGTAATGTAACACCTTCTTTTAAAGGTAAACAATCAAAGCGGTTAATTACAAACAAATAAAATTTTGCAGCTATTTTTCATTTTACCTTCTTTTAAAAAAAATCATTTTTTTTTTTTTGTAATTACCTTCTTTTTTATATAATGTCATTGGAAATTTTTGAGTTATTATCTCGCGATTTTTTATCACTCCTTGATACGGGAGAATATTCAGATGTAATAATTCAAGTTGGTCAAGAACCTTTTATCAGAGAATTTCGAGTACATTCACTTATTTTACGAACAAGGTCACTTTATTTTCGTAATGCATTATCAAACACTTGGGCAAGGACAAAAGGAAATTATTTAGTCTTTCAGAAACCGAATATTTCACCTAAAGTATTCGAAATTATTTTAGAATATATATATGGTGCAACTGTTAAACTCCTAAAAGTTAATGTTAAAATTATTCTTGAAATTTTGAAGGCAGCTGATGAATTATGCATAAATGAACTAGTTGAACGTATTCAAGAATTTCTTTTGTATAACCCGGAATTAATATTAAAAAATCTTGTTTTAATTCATCGGTTTGTTACCGAATATGATCATTTTACAGAATTACAAACGTTTTGTCTTAATACGATTAATCAAGATCCTGCGATATTCTTTGAAGCCGAAGATTTTATTACGATAGATCAAAATACGTTATTATTTATTCTGAAAGCCAGTAACCTTATTATGAAAGAAATTGATGTATGGAATAAAATAGTTGAATGGGGAATTGCGCAAGATCCTTTACTCTCGCATGATATTGAGACGTGGACATCCGATACTTTTTCAAAGTTTCGAAACATAGTACAACCATTTGTAACTTGCATTAAATTTGCGCTAATAAGCCAGGATGATTTCTTTGAAAAAGTTCGACCTTTTAATCAAGAAATTGGGGTAGAATCATTATCATCAGGAATAGGAACTCGTGAGATTGATTCAAATCTAATTGCAGCGAAACATGCCTCATTGATCTCTGGATGGATGATTAACGATCCGCAAATGCAATCACATTTTGAATTCAGATTGCTTTTACGTGGTACAAGGGATGGATTTACAGCAGAAACATTTCATAAATTATGCGATAATAAAGGACCAACCGTAACCATCTTACGAGTTAAAGGTACAGGAGAACTTCTTGGGGGCTACACCCCCATGAATTGGGATGCGTCTTTAGAAGATTTCAGTTATTCTACAAGAAGTTTTTTATTTTCATTTGATAAAGATAATTTGAATGATGCCATATGTTCTAGGGTAGTAGATCCTAATTGCGCCTTTTATAATTGTGCGGATTCAGGTCCCAGTTTTGGTGGATCTGAAACAGATTTACAATTATGGGGAAATTTCAATGAAGAACGTTATTGCAGATGTGTAAAGACGAGTTATGAATATAAAATCAGAGAAAGTGAAGATTACTTTTCCGTCGATGATTATGAAGTATTTCAAGTGGTTAGAATATTTTCGACAAATTAATTATTTTATTATATATTTTTTATTTTAATTTTTTAATTCACTAGGTAGTTTAATAATTCTTAATTTGGGTAAATTAGATCCATCATTTCCTTATTTATATAGATTAATTTTATTATAATTTAATAAATATTATTTTTACATCGCAGTCGGGCCAATAATAATTCGTAAGTTTGTCACGCGTTTTATTAACCAAGATGGTAATTGTATTAATGGTCTCTTACGCCAAATTTTTATTGGACAATTGACGATTCATATTAACCGTTCAAAACAAATTTAAAGAATAATATTTAAACATCATTCGAGATCTTATCTAACATTGCACATTCTCGAAACGATAAAATTAAAAATCCTCAAATTGCAGATTTATTTATTACGGTACATAGATTTTATTCTGGCAATTTTGTTAGGTACGAAAAAATTGTAATTCCGTGTGATAAAATAAAGAAAGTTCTCGGGTTACAATCTTTGTGCACAAGAAAGATTTATTATTCTTATGACAGAATCAATAATTTCAAGTTGGGTTTGATTATCACTATATCACTATGCAAGTGCTACAACAAATTTCTATCCCAGGAAACAATTAGCATTTATTCTACTGCGGCGAGAAAATGAATTTTCCTTTTATTCATTAGATATAAAGTTCAGTCACAAAAAGAAATTATTTATTAGGTTTTGTGCCTCTTTTATCTCCGAACAATTGATCTTGATATTATATTATTTAGTTCTTATTGACATTGACTTTTAAGAACTGGTTCCACAAATAGAAGTCTCCCGGATGTCACATTTCTATAATCATTAAAAGCATTATTGTTTTTCATTTCAAATACCCTTTTTAGAAAACAACTGTGGTATCTTTTAATTAATTCTGCGGAGATAAAAATGAAAGGTTTTTCTATATAAAACAAGGTCTCTTGTGTGGGATTCCTTCCCACCGTCAAACGTTTATAATTAGTCGGTTTAAATTTTTTCGTGATTACATCATGCAAATTCGTAATGATACCCAAGTTCCTGATAAATTTGGTAAGAAATAATTCATTTTCGGAATATTAGTCCGTTAAACTTTTCAAAACACTATCGCGTGCGAGTCACGTGATCAAGCAGCCTGACGACGTGTACTAATTGAAGAAACATACAAACGGAAACAACAAAAATACCATATTGAATTGATTTTACCGATGCGATATTTTTGATCTTGATTATTAGGAATGAATTATTTGATGCATATCATATAAATGACTAATTTTTCTGTCCTTTCCTTTTTTTTATTATATATATATATATATAGGCTTTCAGGAGGATACAAATGGTTCAACCATTCTTATCAATCCATCAATGGCGCCGGCATCGACTCCTTTTGTGCAACAGCCAACCAGTATCGAACATAACGGTTCTTCGGATGTACATGGTGGAAGTGAAATTCCTTCTCCGCCACAATTATTAAATGATGGCATCACAAACGAACGACCATCCACTGACTTGGATCAGCGAGGTATCATCACTAATACGATCTCCTTTAGTGCCGATAACATGCGAAGATCGGAAGAACGAGTCCAAACTCGAGATGATGAGCCTTCTGATAACTTACCTTCTAGTGATTTTAGTCAAATCATGCATATGAACCTTTTTAGTGCTAACAGCATGCAAACATCGGAAGAAAACGATACTTTTAGGGTTTCAGATCGAACTCAAGATGAAGAACCTTCCGATAATTTACTTACTAATGATTTTAGTCAAATTATGCGCACGAACTTATTTTCTGCGGATTATTCACAACACGGTCAACAAAGTGATTATGCTGTTTCTAACCCTCAAGCCGAAACGTTGTCCAAAGAATCTCAAGAAAAAAACAGGGATGAAAGCAAATCTATTCAATCCCAATCAGATGATTCTACAATTGCTATCCAAAAAAAACCAAAGTTTGAAAATGACTTGAAGGACAAAATTGATCCAAAAAAAAATATTCGTGAAGTTCTTAAAAATCGCAGATATGACTCGATTGACTCAATTGAATATGGTAAAGATTTGGCTGAACACATTCCTGGTTTGTATCGTTTGTTAGACTTATACAAAGATGATGGATCGAATGGACTTGGTATGTTTCTTTACTTTTTTTACATACATTATAAGTGAAATTAAATTCTGAATAAATTATTAAAGGATTAAATTTCATATGATGTATTTTATCATTGTTTTAGTGGATAAAATAATTATCTCAAAGGATTCTTTAAAGAAACTATGCAACGATATGGTTCCGTACAGTTTCAAGTCTATTTCTGAAATTAATTATACTAAATTGAATTCAATTTCGTTTCGCCTTGTTGGATGTTACGGAAATCAAAGCTTGATCGTAAAGCTTTTGTTCGAGAAAAATATTATCGATCAAAGAATGTGTGTAATTTCTATCATGAAAATTTTATTCCTATTCCTATAGCCATAATTAGATTAATATTCTCTTTTTATTTAGGCATGATTTGCTTATAGCATCGCAATTTTCTGTGAACGCAAATAAGCCTTCTTTACGTCCTGGTATTTATTTGATAGTTGTGAATGCAGATTTGGGATTAGTTATTCATTGGCCCGAAGTTGAATGTTATGAGGAAAATGCTTCTTCGCAACGTAAAAAGAATATGACCAACCTACATAGGTATATATATTTTTTTTATTTAACTTGTATTAAATCGAAATCAATTTATCTTTTTTAACATTATATCAAATCCTATCTTATAGATATTTGACAAAGCTTACTGACCATCAGCTTTGTCTTTTAAGCGATAAAGACCTGGAATGTTTTGATTGGAAATTAGACAATTCCGATATTGATTCAGATGAAGAAGATGATGAATCTCGTTTCGAGTTTGAAGTCAAGAAAAGCCAGGAAGAACAGGAGGATTTCAGAATCTATCCCGGTTTCAAGGTTTCTATTTAACTTATTTTATATTAAATTTGTAATATATATTATTTAAAATAACAAACTTTTTAAATTTCCAAGGTGAATTTGTCTGAAAAAATAAAAGATGAAATAAATAATAATGCCACAGATGATATACCTTTACATCCCATTGGTAATAATTATGAGTTTTTTTATATTCTATAAAGTGAAATATTAATTTAAATTCAATTCATTATTGATTTAGTTGTTGAATCAGCCAAAAATCAATCGTTTGTTACCCGAAAATTAATAAAGTCGTCTTTTCAATTACGTTCATTCTTTCCAACTTTTTCTGCAAATGATTTTTCACGGGAATTAAATACTAGATTGCAGGAACGAAGTTTACATATTAATCGTGAAGAAATGAACATGAAATCCCTAGAGATTTTGGTTAAACACGGATTAAGGATGGAAAATGAACTTTTGGGTCCATTACGTGAAGCTATAAAAGCTGCAAAGCTTAAAAGTGAAAAAAAGAAGAATCAAGAAAAGAATGCCACAAATAAAGATATTGAATTCATTTTAAATTTAGCACGAAAGAGATTAAATGACTGTTACAGGTATTGTCTATGATTCTTTATTTTTATTATTATGATTATTTTTTTTTTTTTTAAAAAAAATTGTAATAAAATTAAAATTTTTTAATAGTTCTTTTGAAGTGTTAATTGTGGAAAATTCCTTCTCACGGGCAAATATAAGTGATGAAGGTGAAGTATATTGAGATCATTTTTTATATATATAGTTACCTGATCAATTTACTATTTATTTAATTTAGATTTAAAAAGGATTCATGATAAATATCCTGACATAGAAAGTCAAATTGATGAAAAAATTAAAATCAATTCCGACGCTTGGAAAAAATTAAAAATAAGATACATTTTAATTACGTTAATAGTTCAGAATATTATCAAAACGGCAGGAAGTACCAGCGTCGAAAGCGAAGAATCTACAATAAAGATTTTTTATGAAATGTTCGTGGATGAAGAAACTGATTCAATTAAATTAGTAAAAAAGTATACTGAAAAACAACAATCTGACAGTTGGTTTAATTTCCGAGCCTTTTGGGATTTTGTGACTTTCTCTAATATAAAAATTGATCGCGCATATGACCAATCGATTAAATTTTCACAAAATATGTCCGATATAATATTTATACAAAAACTTACCGATACAAATTTTTTTGGTAAATTTAATGAGATCAAACAAAAAGTCATAGATGCTTTCTTTGAAAAATACCAAATATGGAGAAATGTTACTTTTACCAATAACATTAAAGAAATTCTGCCAAAAGTTGCTTTCAATAGACAATTAACAGAAAAGTTAAATGAAGAATTTGAGCTAGAAAAAAAAGAAATTGAAACTCATGAATTTGAAAGAATTTGTAAAGTAATAGAAGAAAAATATCAAAATGGGTGGGTTTGAATTAATTTTTAACATTGATTTATTATTAATACGTTAATATTAATAATAAAAATCTTCTAGTCCTATGCAGATAAATATAATAAATATAACAGGTGATAAATCAATCATTTGCAGTTTCTTAATATGATTAATAATATTTAATGCTATGATATTTATTATTAGACATTTACAAGTCTAATCATTTCCGATTCCATCATGAGATTGAAACAACAAAGCCAAATCAGTTGCAGATAACTATTTACGAAACTTCATTAAATCAAGCAGATACCTTTCAAATTCAAGATAATGAGCTTCATATTCCAAATATAACCTTACCTTTACAATATAATTCTGATCAATTTGGTTTCACTTTTCATGTTGATCCCGCGGTTTATGATTTCAGGTAATTATTAATATTTTTATAATATTTCGCTTTTTTTCGATGACTTACTAATGATTAATTTAAATCACAGGAAAATATCTCAATTTGATAACCGCAAATTCCTTGTGCTTTACAATAAAAAAATGCAAAAAGTTGAAATATTCTTTGATACTGTTCAGCGGTTAACACAAATTTTCAAAGCATCGTATCCGATTAAGCCATTTAAAACATTAAATACGGATGAACATTTTATTATTGCAATTAATGAGCCGAAAGAATTAATTGCTATCTATAATACAAAAAAAGCTATGGTAAGTATGATAATTTTCTTTGATTATTTGTAATTTACATAATTTCCATAATCTAAATATATTTATTTTAAATAGTTAAATGTGAATGGTATGCTATTAAAATTGAGGTACGGATCATATGATTTACTATGTCTCGTACCTCAATTTTAATAGCATACCACCCATGTATTTTCTTTTAATGATGGTCGAGCAAATTTATATATACGAAATCCAAATATACAGTTATTACAATGGTACAATAATATGGTTCCAGTTCTTCAGCATTTATTTTTTATTAAAGATACCGAGGAACTATGCTTTGTTGAGAAAGGTGGCCGAACACGGATTTTTAGCCTTATAAATTTGCAATTTCGACCAGCAGTTTGTAACCTTCCAACCAATACCGCAAATGTTTTAAGCTCACCTGATGGTTCATGTATTGTAGCATTCGTTAAAGAAAAGTTGGTAGATGATAATCCCATTGATAATGTCGCAGGAAGCGAATATGACAACGAAAATAAACATATTACTGATGATACGGAAAAAAATGATAATGATTCGGTTATTTCAGCCGATAACAAAGAAGTGCAAAATAATTGCAATAAAGACGATAGCAAAGATATATACCGTGCTTATGTTTATTTTTGTTCAAATTTTGGGGGTCCTGTTAGTAAAGGTAATTTACGATCTATTATTTCTTTAACTTGTATAAAATTTAATGCTTTAAAAAAAAAAATTTTTTTTTTAGTTATAGATTTACCAACCACTTTTCAATCTTTGGAACTCCTGCAATTTACTTGTATAAATAATCTACAAACTCATTTGATATCTCTTGATTTACAAAATGGATATTTCAATTCTGTAATAGTTAAAATCACCCTTGAAAAAACTCAATATCGTTTCCAAGAACGAAGACAAAAAAAGTCACTTGGGCTTGTAAAATTAATTGATTCTTCTCACAGAAATGTTAATTATACTATTGTTGAAGGAAAAAATACACAGTTTGAAAAAATTGTTCGTAATGGAGAGTTTATTGTAGTAAATGGAGAGAAATTTAATGTGATTGAAGTTCTTTCTAACACAAAATTAAAAATTGATGGTAATTTCAAGCCTAGAAATGGATTTGATAATTGGATGGAATTTCGTATTGAACCGAAGACAAAATTAAATGGACTTATTGATGCTTATAAATTAATGTTTGAGAAGTATCCAGTTGAAAGCTGTATCGTTCCCGAACAAAATCGTCTCCTTAATTTAAAAATCGTTCTAGATATTGAAGTTGATGACGAAGAAATCGAAGAATATGGCGAAAAATTTAAGGATTACATTTCTGAAATCTTTGAAGATTTAAGACGATCTACAAAAAAGCCCACTACAATACTAAAAAAATTCTCCACATCAATTATTACTTTTCAAGAACTTGATATTGAAAGTATGAAATTTCAAAAGAACTATTCATCGGGATATGAATTGGGAGAATGGATCATTCAACTTTGTTGTTTAATTCCGATACAAATTGCTGTAGCAAAAGATAATGTATTTCAACCTCTCAAAGATGGATTATTATCTTCAAATGATGTTGAAATTGATGATGATTATAGTCATCATGTTGATAGCATAGCAAAAAACATTTCTTTTGGATGGTATGAAGGAATTTTCAGGCATTTTGGGGATAAAAAAGTAAAAGTTGTTTCTAGTATGGGTGAACAATCTTGCGGAAAATCATTCATGTTAAATCACCTTGTTGGAACTACTTTTGATGGCTCCGCAATGGTAAATATTAATTCTCTTTAAAATCTTTACCTAATTAACTTTTTAAAATAAATTATTCATTTCAGCGTTGTACCGAGGGCGTATGGATGTCGCTTGGTAAAAAAAAAACGAATTCTAATATTTCTTGGTATCATAAAATTAAATTGACGTTATTTAATGCCTTTTCCCTATTTTCTTATAGTAAATACCAAGAAATATATTTATGTCGCACTCTATTTTGAAGGTTTAAATTCTCTTGAAAGAAGTTCTCAAGAAGGCAAATTTACAATTTTTAAATACATATTTATTTCTGATTTTGATAGCTGTATACTAATCAATAAATATATATATTAGATTTGTTTTTAACACTTTTTAATACAGTCGTATCAAATCTCATACTCTTTAAGGTAATTATATTTATTTTGTGATCTTTTATTTCATATATTTACATTGCATATTTCTAAATTAAACAGAACCAATTTGCAGTAAACAGAGACATGTCTTCGATGTTTCAAAGATTTCAAGATGGTGCAATGTTATTTGAATCAGATCCAAAAATATTTCAGGTATGGGTCAATTTCATATCCTTTAACTTATTCTAATAAATTTTGTTTATTAATATTCTATGATTAGGCAAAACTTTGTATTATCATAAAAGATGTGCCTAAGGCTGACAAAGATGATATTGTTAAAGAATTTAAGTCAAGATTTTCTCAATTAGTTTCAGAGGTATTATTTTTACCGTTACTTTAAATATACATCTGTTAAGATTATTTACTTTTATTTATTTTAGGAAGGGGAAGATAACTTTATTTCGAGAATGTATAAGGGAGGGTTAGATATTATTCCCTGGCCAATGTTTAATGATGCTGCATGGTTTAAGACATTATCAATTGTTAATAAGAAGTTAGACAGCAGGAAGCAAAATATGAGAATGCACGAACTTTTCTACAAAATACAAAAGTTATTATGACTAAATTGAAGGTTTGTCTATCTTTTTATTTAAAATAAATATTTTTATTTTTCGAAAATAAGTAATCTATTTGCATTAGATATGTGATTGGGGTTCATTGGACGAAAACCTCATACAGATTCGTGTTGCAACATTAAAAAGATTACTTCCAACTGTGATTTCCTATGGTTTGGAACAAAAGGATTCTTCCGCTAATGAACAACTTATGGTATTATAAATAAATATACATAAATATATATTTGTTTATAAATTTATTAATTATTTGATTTCACACATTTCATAGAATCGTGATACAGGAGAACCCATTGCCGACTCAGTAATCAGCTTATCAGAGATTTTACATGATTTTGAAAATTCTGATACAATATTACTACCGGATTCTGATATTCTATTATATGATGAAAACGAATCTTTTGTCCGACTTTCTGAAGAATTAAGAAGTTACTTTGAAGAACATATACGATCGCGAAAAAACTCATCCGATGATCTCAAATGGTTTGCCAATTTCAATATATTCTTTAAATATATTATTGAGCGCCGGGTTTTACGTGTTCAAGCTTGGTATATGCAAAATACTGCTAAGTTTCCACAAGATAATAATGATATTGTTAATGGAAAGTATTCAATGGAGCAAGAAATTGGCAAACTTACGCTTTTATGGACATTATGTGGATTGACATGTCATCAATGTGGTTTAAAGTGCGTCAAGAATCGTGATCACGAAAAATGATCATGATTGTTTAACGGACCATGAATGTCATTTTGATTGTCATTTCGTTGAAGCTCACAAAAACATATCAACTCCAACGTGTAGTCATAAAGCTGGACATGAAGGCAAACACGCTTGTGACAAAATAAATCATTTGTGTGGCAAGCCTTGTAACCTTATAGATAAACGTAATTGCCAGAAAGTTTGTTCAAAGGAAATTGGACATGAGGATGATCATTTATGTCAATCAACTCGACATTATTGTGGAAAAGCTTGTTCATTATCAACAAAAACTCAGAAAGGAGATTATTGTTGTCCTAATAAATGTATTATACCATATGAAGAAGAACATGATTCACACCGCTGTGAAAATGAAACTTGTCCAATTCAATGTCCAATATTAGACTGTCAGAAGAAATGCCAAGATAACAATCATTTCCACGCTTACTCCAATTTTCAAGTAGATCATTTTTGTGGGTATGTATTACGGATTCTAATTTTTATTTTATATATTATTTGGTATGAATTTAATGAAATAATACATATATTACTTAAGAAATGAACATCAATGTCGTGAATTTTGTGAAGAGGATGGCATATGTAAAGTAATACTCGAACCTAAGAGGCAAGAAGAAGTTTATAAAGGATTAGTAACCAATATTACATTTACGAAGGTATTAATGCAGATAGAATTTATAAATATGAAAATTAAAAATTACTAATCTATAAATTTTGTTAATTAACAAAATAGTATATTCAATTAAGTGAAAGGTTAATTTGTATTAAAAAAATTCCTCCAAACGAATTTATACATACTGGAAAACATACACATGAAGAAGATGGTTTTCACTTTTGTGATGCAAAATGTCAATTCTGTGAATATTTTGTATGTATTATATATAAAGTTTATTAATTATTTTTTTTTCGAAATATATTAATTAAAATTTTTTTATAAATAGTGTACATCACCTTATGGTCATGCACAAAATCATACTACAACACATGGAAACATGACACAAACTGAATTTGCCGGAGAAGATAATAATGAATTTGAATATAGAGGGTATAGAAATTATACATATATAGAAATATTTATTAATAATCATATTATTATTAAAATATCTTTTAATTTTTAGACATAAACTAAGAGTTGGTGACCAAGGAACAGTTGTTCTTTGTAACTTGGTATGTTGTTGCGTTATCTCATTTTAATATTTAAGGCTTTAATTATTAAAGTCCCTCGTTATTTTATCTCCTCAATATTAGTACTGTAAAGATTTAGGAAGACATCGTCATATTGATTATTGTCAGAATGAAGAAAATTGTAAATCATTATTAAACCAAGGACAAGATTTACAACATATTCATGGTAATTTAAATTCATTTCTATATAATTATATTTATATATAAATTAATTAACTATTAATTATAGAGCGAGTAAATCCTAATCCTGATAAACCAAAAGATTTCATTTCTCATAAGTTGTTCTGGGATCGAACGGGTTTCAAAGGTATATTTTTAAATAATTCCACGTGCTTCGTAAACGTTATTAATTTATTTATGTATTTTTTTTTTTTTTAGATCCTTATACTGCTCAAGAACAACAAGAGTTTGCAAAATGTGATCATGAATGTTCTGATGACAAGCATAAATCTCAAGGATCTACAAGCGCTCCTCCAACTAAATCATTTTGTGAATTATCCCTTTTCCACGATCAGCTTAATCCAAGTTCAAATCCTCCAAATGACTACGGTTATATATCTTTAGATGGGCATCATTTTAATTGTGAAAATCCAAGTACACGTGAAGCCGCTTTTCATATTATATTCGTCATGGATCGTTCAGGATCTATGAACGGAAAAGATAAAAAACCAATACCAGGCTTTCCAATTTATAATAAATTAATGAAAAATCACGATAATAGAATTGGCGCAGTATACCATGCAGTAAGATTATAAATTATTATTAAAGCTTACCACGTCTTAGTTAGCCTTTTAATAAAATTTATCATTAATAATATTTAATAGGTATATCAATTTATGGATGCACGAATAAAATCTGCTCCAGCAAATCAAAATCAAGCTATGCGTGATAAAGTATCATTGATAATAAGGTTTTTAATTTAACAATTTAACTGATATATCTTGAAGTTTAATGATAATCATTAAAATACTAAGAATAATTGAATAATTGTAGGTTATCGTTCCATTTGAAAATCGAGATTTAACTGATCCGAACGAATTGTTAAATGAAATGATTAAACACCAAGCTCGAGGCGGAACGGATTTCAATCTTGCAATTCAAAAGGCTGGATTTTTGATTGCTACATACTTTGATGCTACAAGGTATAGTTAGAATTTTACGAGTTATCATCGAAATATTTCTAACCTTTTTTCTTTTTAGAGCAAATATCATTATCTTCTTATCTGACGGCCAATGTGGTATTCCAACGAATCAACTTAAAACTATTTGCAAACAAAATGAAACGAGAGGGTAATTATTATTAAAATTTAAGAATTTACTTAAAAAATAATTTTATTGAATAAAATTTTTCCGTAAAAATTTTCAGATCCCCATTATATCTCTATACAGTATTATTTAGCAGTGGTTTACGTAGTCACTCTTTAGAAGAAATGGCAAACATTGCGCAATCTTATCATTCTCAAAATTCATCATCTAGTGCTTTGCGTTGTCAATTTACTTGTGCTATTGATGAAGTTAGTTTAGTTAATCATTTTACTGGTGTGGCAGAAAGTTTGAGAAAGCATAAACCAGCATTGTTAAAGAAGAATTCTGGTTCTTAAAAAATTTAACCGGAATTCTTAAATAATGTAACAAGTTTTGATAATTTGAAATTGTATACTATTTATAGTTGTACTCATGAATTATAAATTTTTATAAAGACAGATCATGGCTTTTTTATAAATAATTTTCCTTTTTAAATGCCAAAACGTTAGTAGCAGTTCTTAAAATTATTATTTTTTAGCAACCAAATCCTTCTTATCAAGTTTACAGATAATGAAAAGGGAGGAAACTCTAAAAAAAAATATTTTTTTTTCGTTAATGTTATAAAATTAACATTTTAGACTTATTTACAACTTTTAACGTATAAAGCATTCTACTGAAAAACAAGCTATATAAATCTCGCAATTCCCGACTCAGCGGTTCCTTTCAAAAAGATTGTTCTTAGATGCTGGTAATGTGTATACAGAAAAATGCTAAAATGAAAAAAGTTTTTAAACCATTGATGGGGTTTATTTCTTTGCGTACTTTTTAATTCAGTGATGAAATTTGGCAGTGGCCAAAAGATTTTTGGCGTTTGGCCTAATGGACCAACCAAATGGACAAATGACATAAACATAAATAATAAACATAAATAGGTAATAACTATTAATTAGTATTTAATAGCATTTTTGAACGCGGGCCTCGTCACAAATTATTTTGGTATCAGGTGTATAACCATACAAAATACAAACTCGTGACGTACTTAACAAATATTGACAAAATTTTCGTTACAAATCTCGCTCACTCATTTATTATCATGAGAAGTTCAATTTAATATAGCAATATTAATATTTAAGGAAGAAAATCTCCCGACATACCGATACACGTGTTTTTTTTGTAGTTTCCTCTTTCTAATGCAAAGTAAAAAATATAACATATTGATATTCAATTCAATATAATTAACTTGAGAGGTTCAAATGTAAGGGGAGTGAGTATCTTCCCTTCTAACTTTCTAACTATATTATATACCGGTAGTAAGAATTTTTTAGCTCCATGATTGCTAAGGATTATTTGCAGCCTTTGGTTTTAATAAACGTTTTCTAGTTAGTCCGGAGCGTAAGCGAAGGAGCTTTGCAGAGGAAACTCTAAAAAAAAATTTTTTTTAAGATAATGTTAAATCTGGACTTATTTAACTAAAAAATCATATTTAGCTTATAAAGTAAAATTTTAATTTTATTACCTAGAGTTTCCTCCCTTTCTACTGCATTCCCCCGTTCAAAAATTGAGTTGATACGTGATTGGTTACTTGCTTCGGACTTAGCCATAGTTTATATATTTATTTATTATATTACTGTATCGTCTTAAAAAATTGCATTTTAGGACCGAAAAAAATGATTTTATTGTTGATGATAACGTGCAACTTTTGTATAGACTTTATTAAACTTAAAGAACACCAAAATTAACATCAATAATTTCTTTCGTAAATATATAAATTCGTAAATAACCACACTAAATATTTTATACAACAATATCCTGAAAAGATATAAAGTATATTGCTACTACATAAAATGCTTCTAGTTTTTCTTCTTGAGCAACGCAGGTTTATGTTTTCTCAAACTTTCTGCCACACCAGTAAAATGGTTAACTAAACTAACTTCATCAATGGCATTAGTAAATTGACAACGCAAAGCACTAGATGATGAATTTTGAGGATGATAAGATTGTGCAATCCTCGCCATTTCTTCTAAAGAGTGACTTCGTAAACTACTGCTAAATAATACTGTATAGAGATATAATGGAGATCTAAAAATTTTATGGAAAGAAATTTTTTTTGAAATTCAAATTAAATACTTTAAAGAAACAATATATATTATAAACTTTGATAATAATTACCCTCTTGAATGATTTTGTTTACAGATATTATGAAGTTGATTGGTTGGAACACCACATTCTCCATCGGATAAGAAGATAATGATATTTGCTCTAAAATTGTGGAAAATTCATTTAAATTACACCAACATTAATAAAATATATTTAACTCATGCAAAAATTTAACTTACTTCGTAGGGTCAAAATAAGAAGTGATCAAATATCCAGCTTTTTGAATTGCATTATCGAAATTTGTTCCACCTCCAGCTTTATATTGAAGCATTATATTTAATAATTCTTTCATGTTTGTTAGGTTTTGATTCTCAAATGGTACAACAATTTTATGATCAAAAAGAATTAATGTAACACTATCCCGTAAAGCGGATGAAACTTGATTTTGATTAGTTTGAGCGGAAGCAAAACGCGTTTCCATAAATTGATATACCTGTATTGGTACAATAAGAAATATTATATATATATTGAATATATTGAATACCTTGTGAAAATATTAAAGTTGGATATCATTTAGTTCTTACCGCCTGATAGACCGCGCCTGTTCTATTGTTGTGATCTATTATCAATTCATTATAACCTGGATGGTATCGAAGTGGTTTTTTATCTTTTTCGCTCATAGATCCTGAACGATCCATGACGAATATAATATGAAAAGCGGCTTCACGAGTACTTGGGTTTTCGCAACTAAAATGATGACCATCCAAAGATATATATCCATAGTCATTTGGAGGATTTGAACCCTGAATAAGCGGAGCATGGAAAAGGGATAATTCACAAAATGATTTCGTTGGAGGAGCGCTTGTAGATCCTTGAGATTTATGATGCTTTTCATCAGGACATTCATGATCACATTTTGCAAACTCTTGTTGATCTTGAGCAGAATAAGGATCTAAAAAAAAAAATTCAACAATAAATTATTATACATTTACGAAGCACGTAGAGTTATTTAAAAATATACCTCTGAAACCCGTTCGCTCCCAGAACAACTTATGAGAAATGAAATCTTTTGGTTTATCAGGATTAGGATGTACTCGTTCTAAAATTTAAATAAAATTAATTAATCTATAAATATAATTATATCATAAAATAATTAACTTACCCTTAATATGCTGAATATCTTGTCCTTGATTTAATACTGATTTGCAACTTTCTTCATTATGACAATAATCTATATGACGATGTCTTCCTAAATCTTTACAATACTAATATTGAGGAAACGTTAATTTTAAAATTGAATTAAAAAAAGGAGTTACAAATTATGAAAACGTACCACATTACAAAGTACAAATGTTCCTTGATCACCAACTTTTAATCTATGTCTAATAATTTAGAAAATTTTAATAAAGTAGATAATAGACATAACTATATTATATAGACTATACCCTGCATATTCAAATTCATTGTCTTCACCGGTGAACTCAGTTTGTGTCATATTTCCATGTGTCGTATTATGAAGAATTTGTGCATGCCCGTAAGATAACGTACACTGATCATAAAATATTAAGTAATTAATTAATACATACATAAAAAAACTATGTAACGGTAATACGCAGATTTTAATAATACATACAAAATATTCACAGAATTGACATTTTGCATCACAATAATGAAAACCGCCTTCTTCATGTGTATGTTTTCCAGTATGTTTAAATTCATTTGGAGGAATTTTTTTAATACATGCTAACCTTTCATTTAATTGAATATACTATTTTTTTAATGAAATAAAAATTATAATTTAATAATTATAATTTTACCACATAAATAACTTTTATCGACGTTAACATACCTTCGTAAATGTAATATTGGTAACTAGTCCTTTGTAAACTTCTTCCTGTTTTTTAGGTTCGAGTATTATTCTACATATACCATCATCCTCACATAATTCACGACATTGATGCTCATCTCTTAAAATCATAATTAATTTGATCAAATCCATACCCCCCCAAAAAATAAATAAATGAAACAAAAAAAGGAATTATAATACTTACCCACAAAAATGATTTACTGGTAAATTAGAAAAAGAGTGAAAATGATCATTAATTTGGCATTTCCGTTGGCAACGTGGAATTGGACACTGAATTGGACAAGTTGGATTTTCGCAGCGATGTAAATCATGTTGTTCTTCATATGGTCTAATACATTTATTAGGACAACTATAATCTCCTTTTTGAGTTTTTGTTGATAATGAACAAGTTTTTCCACAAAAATGAAGAGTTGATTGACATAAATGTTCATCCTCATGTCCAATTTCCTTTGAACAAACTTTCTGGCAATTACGTTTATCGATAAGGTTACAAGGCTTACCACACAAATGATCTATTTTGTCACAAGCGTGTTTGCCTTCATGTCCAGCTTTATGACTGCACACTGGAATTAATTTGTTGTTGTGAGCTTCAACGAAATGACAACCAAAATGACATTTATGGTCCGTTAAACAATCATGATCATTTTCGTGATCACGATTCTTGACGCACTTTAAACCACATTGATGACATGTTAATCCGCAAAATGTCCATAGCAGTATAAGTTTGCTTATCTCTTGCTCCATTGCATACTTTCCATTAACAATATCACTGTTATCTTGAGGAAACTTTGCTGTATTTTGCATATACCAATTTTTAACACGTGAAATACGACGATCAATAATATATTTAAAGAATCCATTGAAGTTGGTGAACCATTTGAGATCGTCGGATGAGGTTTTTCGCGATTGTATATTTTCTTCGAAGTAAGTTCTTAAATCTTCAGAAAGACGGTCAAATAATACGTTCTCATCATATAATAGAATATCAGAATCCGATAATATTATGTCAGATTCCTCGAAATCATGTAAAATCTCGGAAAAATTGACTGCTGAGTCTTCAATTGGTTCACCAGTATCACGATTCTTTTGAAGAAGTAAATTTAAAAATCAAATTAAAAATTCGTTAAACTTTTTGAAGTTTGTAATACCAGTATAATAAAAATTATTATTACCATAAGTTGTTCAGTAGTAGAATCTTTTTGTTCCAAACCAAAGGAAATCACAGTTGGAAGTAACCTTTTTAATGTGGCAACACGGATTTGTATAAGATTTTCGTCTAATGAACCCCAATCGCAAATCTAACGTTATAAATACAAGTTTTTTATATCAATGATAAATAAAATAATTAATACTGTACTGTATCTAATTCTTTTACAAACCTTTAATTTAGCCATAATAACTTTTGTATTTCGCAAAAAATTTCGTGCATTTTCATATCTTGGTTCCTGATTATTTAAATTCTTATTAACCTTTGATAATGTCTTGAACCATGAGGCATCATTAAACATTGGCCAAGGAATAATATCAAGCCCCCCTTTGTACATTCTTGAAATAAAGTTATCTTCACCCTCCTAAAATTATTGAAAACAATAAATAAATAAAACCGCATCATTTGAAAAGAATATAGCAATAGTATATACCTCGGCAACTAATTGAGAAAATTTTGACTTGAATTCTTTAACAATGTCTTCTTTGTCAGCTTTAGGCACATCTTTTATGATGACACATAATTTCGCCTAAATTATTTAAAATATTAATAAAAAGGTTTGTTTATGTTAATATTAGAATTTTATATTAACTTACCTGGAATATTTTTGGATCTGACTCAAATAACATTGCACCATCTTGAAACCTTTGAAACATCGAAGACATATCTCTATTTACTGCAAATTGATTCTGTATTAAATTAAAATAATTTGAATGAGTATAAAAAAGAGAATTGATGAATAAAGTAATAATGTAGATACAGTAATAAATTACCTTAAAGAGTATAAGGTTCGACACGACTGTATTGAAAAGCGTTAAAAATAAATCTAAAAAAAGATTGAATATCGTTAATATATGCAAAGTCATAATAATGAAACGTGTAATTGACATAGACCTTCTTGAGGCGTTCTTTCAAGAGATTTTAAACCTTCAAAATCGAGTGCAACATAAATATATTGCTTGGTATTTACTATATAGGATAAATAAAAAAGTTAAATTTATACTTTTAAGACGAGAAGCATAAAATTTTATTACCCAGCGACATCCAAACACCTTCAGTGCAACGCTAAAATGAATAAAAATTTAATAATTTTTTTTAAAATGATAATTTTGTAAAGATTTAAAGAAATTTTACCATTGCTGAGCCGTCAAAGGTAGTTCCAACAAGATGATTCAACATGAATGATTTTCCGCAAGATTGTTCACCCATACTAGAAACGACTTTCACTTTTTTATCACCAAAATGCCTGAAAATTCCTTCATACCATCCAAAAGAAATGTTTTTTGCTATGCCTTCCACATGACCACCATAACCGTCATCAAGTTCGATATCGTTTGAAGATAATCCATCTTTAAGAGGCTGAAATAAATTATTTCTTGCTACAGCAATTTGTATTGGAATTAGACAACAAAGTTGAATGATCCATTCTCCTATCTCGTATATTGATGAAAATTTCTTTTGAAATTTCACGTTGTTAATATCAAGTTTTTGGTAAGTAGTGATTGATGTAGAAAATTTCTTTAATATTGTTGCAGGTTTTTTGGTAGAACGTTTCAAATTCTCAAAAATTTCAGAAATGTATTCTTCAAATTTTTCGCCGTATTCTTCAATTTTTTCGTCGCCAAGTTCATCATTGAGAACGATCTTTAAACTAAGAGGACGATTTTGTTCAGAATCGACACAACTTTCAACCGGATATTTTTCAAACATCATTTTATAAGCATCAATGAGGCCATTTAATTTTGTCTTTGGTTCAATACGGAATTCCATCCAATCATCAAATCCTTTTTTAAAATTGCCACTAACTTTTAATTTTGTGTTAGAAAGAACTTCAATCACATTAAACTTTTCTCCCATTAATACGATGAATTCATTATTACGAACAATTTTTTCAAAGTGTGTATTTCTTCCTTCAATGATAGAATAACCGACATTTTTTCGAGGTGAATAAATTAATTTTGCAAGTCCAAGTGACTTTTTTTGCATTCGTTCCTGAAAACGATATTGAGTTTTTTCAAGCGTGATTTTAACTATTGAGGAATTGAAACATCCACTTTGTAAGTCAAATGACATCAAATGAGTTTGAATTTTATTGATACAAGTAAATTGAAGGAATTCCAAGGATTGAAGAGCTGTTGGTAAATCAACAACTAAAAGATAAAAAATGAATTTTTATTAGAAATTTATGCTAAAGCATATTTAATACGACATAACAAATTACAAACCTTTGCTAACAGAATCTCCAAAATTCGCACAAAAATAAACATAAGCACGGCACGTTTCTTTAATGTTACCGACTTTAACGGAATCATCCTGTTGTTGTTCATGATTAGTAACAACTGAATCACCATCACTTTCACCATCAGTAGTACATCTACTTTCAACACTATCAATGTTTATCGTGTTTGATTTTAAGTTTTCTTTTACGAATGCTACAATACATGACCCATCGGGTGAGCTTAAGACATTTGAGGTATTGGATGGAAGTTTGCAAATCGCGGGTCGAAATTGCTGAGTTACAAGGTTGAAAATACGCGCTCGACCGCTTTTCTCAACAAAACAGAGTTCTTCGGTATTTTTAATAAAAAAGAAATACTGCAAATTTGGAACTGTATTATTGTACCATTGCAACAATTGAATATTTGAATGTCGCGGATAAAAATGGGTTTGACCGTCATATAAAGCATACACATTCAACTGTTTAAACAGTAAATATAATTAGATATTTAAAAATTTTAAAATACAAAGATTATCCACTTACCATAACATCATTGTCTGTATATCGATATATAGCAATTAATTCTTTTGGCTCATTAATCGCAATAAGAAAATTTTCATCTATATTCAGAGACTTAAAAGGTTTATTCGTCTTTACGGTTTGTATTATATGTTGGGAAGCACCAAAGAATATTTCGATTTTTTGTGATTTCTTATTGTGAAGCACGAGAAGAAATTTGCGATTATCAAATTGAGATATTTTCCTGTAATTAAAAGAATTATATAAAAAATAATTTTTTTTTTTTTTTTTTTTTTTTTTAAGAAACAAGAAAACATTTAATACTTGAAATCATAAACCGCAGGATCAATCTGAAAGAAATTTTTTCCATATTGATAACTAGAATGCAAAGTTGGAATATGAAGCTCGTCATTTTGAATTTGTAAGGTATCTGACTGATCTAATGATGTTTCGTAAATGGATATCCGCAATTGATTTGGTTGAGTTGTCTCAAACTCAAAATTTAATCGAAGAGATTTAATGTAAACAGTACTATTATCTATTATTATTATTTTTTTCAAAAAATAGAGATTAAACATTGAAAAATATAAAAATCAATATAATTAATTATAATTAATTACCCGTAATATTTAATATGTTTAAGCACAAAGGTCTAAATATAAAATCAAAATGATTCAATGAAAAGTTTTAAAGACTTTGTTGAAAATTTCAAATAATAACAAAGATGACTCACCCATCACGAAATTTTTCCTCCAATTCACTACATATCCTTTCAAATTCTCGAACTTCAATATCATTTTTCGCTTGACATAATTCTTGGTTTAACTTATCATTTGATTGTTTAAAGTCAAATTTGGGTAATATCTCTTTAATGTTATTTGGAAATGTATCCTTTCTCCATTTTTGATATTCATTAAGAAAAGCGGTTACCACATCTCGCTTTATATCGGTAAACTCTCCAAAAAATGATGAAACTATTAGCTCCTTAACTAAATCGGAGTCTGATTTTTGATGCACATAGTCTTTACAACATTGATCTAATTCACTAATGTACGAATGAGAAGTTAAACTACTCGAAATCGTAGAAAATATAGAATAAAGATAACCACGTGATTTACGTTCAAAATTTTTTACAAGCTTATACGTATCATTCTCTCTGTCAATAAACAATTCATAAAATGCACGGATTCCTGACTTTGTCATTTCTTGTTTTTGTTCAGAATTCAAGTCTGAAATGTTAAGAACCTGTTGAGTAATAAAACAGGCTAAAACAAATCTTTTTTTCAGCTTACGCCATTCATTGGAATTTATTTGAATTTTTTCGTTTATCTTGTCTTCGATATCGGGATATTTTACTTTTATTCTTTTGATGTCTAAATGAATTTGAAATTAAAAACCAGTTTTTATTATTCAAACATTCAAACCTTATTCAATCATAAGATACGTTACCTTCATCTCCGATAGTATTATTTTCATGTGATGCGGTATCGCTATTGATCAATCCCTCAAATGAACTGAAAAATAATAATTATATAATTATATTTAAATTTAAATATTTAAGTATTTATTTTCATTATTTTTATGTAATAAAAGTACCTATAAGAATCTTTTAACTTCTTCCACATCATTCGAGAAATGGTTTCTGCATCTTCTTTCACGATCTCTTTTTCTTGTTCTTTCTTATTTTTCAATAATGACTTTTCAGTTTCTATTGCTTTATAAAACGGTTTTAAAAGTTCATTTTCCATCTTAAAACCATTTTTTACCAACAATTCCAATTGCTTAAAATTCATTGATTCACGACAAATAAATAAGCTATGCCCCTTAAGTTTATTACGAAGTTCATTCGAACATGTGTAGTACGAAAGATTAATACTCGATTTATTTAATGTTTTTGCTGTTTGCATTAATTCTCGAGTAACAAATGATTGATTTGTAGCTGATTCAACCACTTTTTTTTTAAAAAAAAAAAAATTTGTTATCTTTGCATATAAAGAGAATTTAAAAATTCAAATATAGAATAACTAAGTACCGATTGGATATAATGATATTTCATCTTGAGTGGTATAGTTTATTTCGGTTTTGGTATTATTAGATAAATTCACCTAGAATATTGATTATCAAGTAAATAAACGAAATGTCTATGACACAATAAATAACAAAAAAATTAAAACCTTAAATCCGGGATAGATTTTGAAATTTTCCTGTTCTTCTTGACTTTTCTTGACTTCATACTCATAACTTGCTTCGTCGTCATCTGAATCATCATCGGATTTATCTAATTTCCAGTCAAAGCTTTGCAGGTCTTTATCACTCATAAGACAAAGTTGATGATCAGTAAGTTTTGTCAAATATCTATTATAAGAGTTGATAAAGTGTTAATAAGATAATAGATTTTAACACAGTTTAATAAAATGTATACCTATGAAGGTTGGTCATATTCTTTTTACGTTGCGAAGAACCATTTTCCTCGTAACATTCAACTTCAGGCCAATGAATAACTAATCCCAAATCTGCATTCACAACTATCAAATAAATACCAGGACGTAAAGAAGGTTTATTTACAGATGATTGCGAGTCTGTAAGACAATCATGCCTAAATAAAAAAAGTGAATAAGATAAAATCCAATTACGGTTAACGAAATATATATATTCATAAATCACATACATTTGTTGATTAATGATCCCTTGATCTAATAAGAGCTTTGCAATTAAAGTATGATTTCCGTAACATCCAATAAGACGGAATGAAATTGAATTCAATTTCGTATAATTAATTTCAGAGATAGACTTGAAACTTGATGGAACCATATCGTTGCATAGTTTTTTTAAAGAATCTTTGGAGATAATTATTTTATCCACTAAAGAATTATAAAATACATCGAGTGAAATTTCAAAATACACGAGCGATCTTTTGATAATATAAAATACGTACCTAGACCATTCGATCCATCATCTTTGCATAAGTCTAACAAACGATACAAACCAGGAATATATTCATCTAAATCTTTACCATATTTATAATCAAACGAATGGTGTTTGTGATTTTTAAGAACTTTGCGAATATTTTCCTTTGGATCAATTCTCTTAATTTCATTTCCAAAACTTGTACCCATCCTCGGAACTTCATTCATTGGTTTTTTTCGGATAGCTTCTTGATCTGACGTCAATCCAAATGATTCATCGGATTGAGATTGAGAAGATTTTCCTTTTTGTATTTTTGCGAATATGCTCGAATTGATTATTTGGTCGAAATCAGTTGTAATAGCATTTTCTAATTGATTTTGTTCGTTTTGAGGTTCCTTGGCATTTTCATTGATTTTTTGATCATGTTGACCAGAAAAAAAGTTCATATTCTTAAATTGAAGCTCAATATTTTGATCTGAAGGCCTAAAAGAATCCGACATTTGCTGATCGTTATCGCCAGATGATGGTAAATTACGAAAAATCAAATTATCAGTTGGTTCTTTATTTTGAGCTTTGTCCGATTCTGACCTTTGCTTATCGTTTGCATCAGGTGATTTCGTATCCATAATTTCACTTAAATTATGATGAAGCAAATTATCAGAAGGTTGTTTATTTTGAGATTTCGTACTTTGCGTGTTATTAGCGTTAGAAGGTTTCGTATTCATAATTTCACTTAAATTATGAAAAGGAAAACTATCAGAAGTTTGAGTTTGGTCAGAAATCTCAATGGTTTCTTTTTCTTCGGATCTTTGTATAGTATTAAAAAGATTCTTATCAATAAGTTCCCGTTGAAATGTGTCAATTGGTAATTGTTGGTTTGTTGCGTTATCGTTTACTAATTGAGGTTCATTTCTATTTTGAAGATCCGAAGGGTCGTTAGGTTCGATCCTGATTGGCACTAAAGGAGTTTCTTCAGATGCCATCGATGGATTGATGAGAACTGTCGAACCATTTGTATCCTCTTGAAACTCTTTTTTTTTTTTTTTTTTTTTTTGAAAATACAAAAGGATTAAGACAATTAGTCATTTTAAGCTGATATAACACTCGCGAAACATTGCATTATTGATTGAATTCTCACCAAAATCATCAGGAGCTTGGGAAGAATTAGGAATGTGCATGATGAATTTATTTAAACCGACTAATTGAGATTGGTCGGTTGAAAGAATTTTTTACTTGAGAGAATAATCTGTCTATTTATAAGTAATATTTTTTTTTAATATCACAACCGCAGATTGATTGATTTTTTTAAAATTACGTTTGAGTTCCATTTGGATATTAATGTTCACGCACACATGAAATATGATGTGACAGGATTTCCCACGATTGTTCGGGAAAATTTTTTCAATTGTTCGGATAAATGACATCAATATTATTAAACTTTTTTAATTATACTTTGATAACGCAAATCTGTCATTTTATTTCATTTTTGGTAAATGATATTTATTTATATATATAATGACATATTATGGTTGAATTTTTGAAAGAATTTTATAATATTACAAAAACAATTATCATTACCTCGATGACAAATAATATGTGAAGAAAATTTACGCGTCAAAGTTGCGGATTTTGAATATAACCAATCAAATTTTACCCTCGATACTTGACTGCAGAATCAGTCGTTGCGATAGATCTAGAACGGCACTGACAGGTCCATACGATATTTCAAATCGGCTATTTCTGACCTCATGGATCAATTAATTTGCCTATCCATGCAAAGCCATGGGAAAAAAATTTTTTATTTAAAAATACTTCGTTTTTCTCTTAGTTTACTATAGGATAGTTAAAAGCCTATTACAGTAAACCTATTTTTTGTTTATTTAAAATTGCAACCGTTTTTGATAAATAAACAATTTATTTTAAATAGCTTCCTTACGTAACAATATGTTAACTCAAGAAAACCAATTATTACTTGTTACTTTTGATAGAGGTCTCATACTGCGGTTATAAGTTAAAATCACGTGATACTATCGTGGCTCACATACAAAATTTTGTGATAGATATGCCACATAATCCGCAGCACAAATGATCTTTTTTTTAAGCATTTATTTTGGGTTATATTTTGGTTACATATTTAGCTCTGTTGTTGACAAAATGTTTTAAATAACGCTACAAAATCTCTCAATTTTATAAAAAATAAACAAAAATCATATATACTTTACTTTTCTATTAAATTCAACTCGCGAAACACAGTATTGTTTTATTACACGAATTTAGTTATCTAATTGACTAATGTTACACGAATACAATAACAATAATAGAGCCGGATTGGTTCTTTCCAGTTACATTTAATAAATCTCGTGAAACTTTTTTTTTTATATAAATAACGTAGATAAGTTATTTCAATAATTTTGTCATAAAGAATTAATAAACCACCCTTATTATAATAAAAGCAAAAAGATAAAATTAAACTTGCAAATTTATTGGTATGTCTCAAAAATAAAATTCGTTGTTTCTTCGCACCTAGATGCAGTTTGGGAATATTAACCTGACTCATCTTTGAGACAAATTTGCAAAAAGAGATTAAATAACGTTATGAATATTTTTATTTTAGATATCTCTCTCTTTCTGGAGTTGAAAAATCTCGAAATTCCACAAGATAACAATCAGTTGTTTTTCAGCTGAAGAAGATTATAAAGATCTATTAGCTAGTATTAAAAATACTTTATGTATTTCATGTCGTTATGAGAATGGAACTCATTATGGCCAAAGAAAGACTCTTTTATGGTCGAACGCTATCACAACTTCTCTGGAATGAAGGATATTTTAATCAACTTGGATTTTTTTTTTTGTTATCCAAATTGTTTGCTTCCTTATCCCCCTTTTTTACCTTGAAGCTATTTTTTTTTAAAAAAAATAAATATACGATGGAACAAAATTCTTCTCTAAACAAGAAACTTTTGAAGCTTTTTGAAAGCTTCTATTACCGCTTTCTCAACTTCAACCTCCACCTCCACCTCTAGCAGCAGCAGTAGCAGTTTGCAGTGGCAGAAACAACAAAAAATAACGAGTTTCCTTCCTCAGTTAAGATTAGGAGGAATGAGGGTCCTTATCATAGGATGTGGAACGGGAACATCGGACTTTCCCGACGATGAATCACACTGGTTTTATTAAATGTGATTCCTGTGCGGGATCCCGTTCCACAATTCGACTTTTGATCTGATCCATGATTTGGTGGATAGATCCGAACTATCGGCGTTTCAAAATGACAATCTTTTTTCTGAGGTTGATCGTGTTTTGAAACATGATGGTTAGGGTGGATTTTTAGAAAAAATGGAAGGTTGAATTTAAAAGGAGGGGAGGATGAATTGTGGTGGCATTGGAATTACGAGTTTCCTTCCTCCGTAGAACGACTTTTAAGATCAGGGTCCTTATTGGATGTGGAACGGCCAAAAAATACCCTGCATCAAATACCTTCATAGGGTTAGATGATTCATCGGAATTTCCCAGTAATGAATCACATCTCCCAAATACGGGATTCATTAAATGTGATTTTCTGTATGGGATCCCGTTCTACCATTCAACTTTTGATCTAATCCACGATTTGGTGGATAGATACAAACCATCAGCGTTTCAAAATGACAATTTTTTTTCTGAGGTTGCATCATCGAAATAGGATATAACTTCGCAACTGGAAGAGTTCCTAAAAATATCAGCGTTGCATGTAAATTGCTCGTTCATCAGTTTTCTAAATAATTTTTTTATGTTCATACAAAAGTTTACATTCAAATTGAAATATTTGTTGCGCACAGAATAAAAGATATTATATATTATTTTTCTACGTGTATTATTTGTTGAATGTCAATCCAATACGTTTTTTTTAACCCCTTCAATCTTCAAAATCCGAAACAAGTGATCGCTGGACGTGGATAATAACATAAATAGAATTCAATAAATTATTCGAATTTATAAAAGATATTTTGTCTTATTATTTTAACTGATTGATTTTGAAAAAATTTTTTTTCAGCATTAAAAATAAAAGATTCTCGAATTTAAATTTATTTATTTATATATGAAATAAAAAAATACATCAATTGGTGCGATAAAATATTGGTGGATTCAAAATTTTTTTTTTTAAAAAAAAAAAAAAGTCGAGACCTAAACAAAATTTTCATCTATATATTTGAACGTTCATCATCTAGATAAAGAAAGTTATGTATGTTTCTTTAAACTTTCCGCCACACTGGTAAAATGATTAACTAAATTGGGTTCATTAGTGGTACGGACAAATTGACAACGTAAAGCATCGGATGAGGTATTTGGAGGATGATAAGATTGTGCAATCCTTGCCATTTCTTCTAATGATTGACTTTGTGAATCGTTATTAATCGATACTGTATAGAGATATAATGGGGAACTGAAAAAAGGTTTCCAAAATTACTAAAAGGCAACACATTTTAAAGACTTGATGATTATGATTATCATTACCCTTTTGTTTGATTCTGCTTGCAAATACTTTTAAGTTGATTTGTTGGAATACCACATTCGCCATCAGATAAGAGAATTATGACATTTGTTCTGGGGGAGAAAAATTCATAAGTAAACACGAACAAACATTTCTAATTTTAACTTACACAAAAGTAAGAAGAAACCTACTTTGTAGGATCAAAATAAGAATAGATTAAATCCCCAGCTTTCCTAATTGCGAGATCGAAATTCTTTCCACCACCGGTTTTATATTGAAGCATTGTAGTCAATAAAGCTCCCGACTCTGTCAAGTTTCGATTCTCAAATGGTACGATAACGTTATGATCGAACAGAATTAATGAAACACTATCACGTAAAACAGGCGACGATTGATTCTGATTATCTTGAGTAGAAGTAAGACGTGTTTCCATAAATTGATATACCTAAATTATACATAAGAAAGAATAAGAATACTTTGCAAATATCATAAAATACTATTATTTTAAATCTTACCGCATTGTAAGCTGCACCGAGTCTATTATTATGATTTGCTTTCATTTCCTTAAAAATAGAAGACCAATGTGAAGGCTTAATATCATTATAACTCATAGATTCAGATCGATCTAAGACAAAAACGATATGAAAAGCGGCAGCTTCTCGTGTATCTGGATTTTCACAATTATAATAATGCCCGTCTGAAGATATATGTCCATAGTTATTTGGAGGGTTTGAGCTTGGATCGAATGGAGCATGGAAAAGTGGTAATTCACAAAATGATTTAATTGGAGTGCTCGTAGATCCTTGAGAATGTTTTTCATCGGAACATTCGTGATCACATTTTGCAAATTCTTGTTGTTCTTGAACAGAATAAGGATCTTAAAAAAAAAAATTAAAAAAAAAGAGAATATATTTAAAAATAAAAATTACATTAAATAAATAAATACTGAAAGAAATAAGAATATACCTTTAAAACCTGTACGTTCCCAGAATAATCTATGAGAAATGAAGTCTAACGGTTTATCATGATTAGGTTTATCTATAATTTATTAAATAGTTAATTAAAGTCAAGTCGGTGTACTGAATGGAACTAGAATAAGTTTAAAATACCGTTAGTAATATGCTGAATATCTTGTCCAGATTTTCCGGATTTACAAGCCTTTTCGTTTTGGCAATAATCAATATGTCGATGTCTTCCTAAATCTTTACAATACTAAGATTGAAAAAATAGAAATAATTAAAAAATGAAAAAAAATATTATTTAATCAAATATATAATAAATATATACCAAGTTGCAAGGAACAAAATTTCCCTGATTACCAATTGATTTGTATCTAACGATTGAAGATGATTAGCCAAAAAAAAAAAAAAAAAAAATTTAAAAATTAAAAATGAGATTAATATACCCCGCATATTCGTCGTCTTCATTGAAGTCGATTTGTATCATATTTCCATGTTTTGTATCATGAAGTTGCGTGTGTCCATAAGGCAATGTGCACTAATCATAAAACAATTTACGTTTAAATAAAAGATAAAAAGAATTCAAAACAAGAGAGTTATTGTATGAAACATACAAAACATTCGCAGAATTGACACTTTGCGTCACAAAAATGAAAACCATCTTCTTCATGAGAATGTTTTCCGGGATGCTTAAATTCATTTTGAGGAATCTTTTTAATGCATTTTAATCTTTCACTTGATTGAACATACTATATTGTGAATAAATAATCATTCAAATATTAATATCTCTTTATTAAAAATTGATCTAACTTTTTACATATTAATTTATACCTTCGTAAGCAATTCTTTTTCTGATTCTTTATTAACTCCTTGCTTGGCAATTACTACCTTACATATACCAGATTCTTCGCATAACTCACGACATTGATGTTCATCCCTAAAATCATAAAATTGAAATCAAATAAATTCGTTCCCAATGATATAAAAATAAAAATAATAAAAAAAAAAGATAGTACATACCCACAAAAATGATCCACTCGTAATTTAGTATTAGAATGAAAATGATCACTGCTTTGACATTTTTTCTGACAATTTGGAAATGGACACTGAATCGGACAAGTTTCATCTTCACAACGATGTATTTCGTGTTGATCTTCACATGGAATAACACATTTATTAGGACACTTATAAGCTTCTCCTTTGTGAGATTTTGTTGACAATGAACAACTTTCCTCACAAAAATGACGTGTCGATTGACATAGATGTTCATCATGATGTCCTTTTTTTTTTGCGCAAACTTTTAGGCAATTGCGCTTATTGTGAAGACTACATTTTTGACCACATAATTGATGAACTTTTAATTTATTACAAATGTGTATGCCTTCATGTCCAGCTTTGTAATTACATGACGGAATTAATTTAACGTTATGTTGGTCGCTAAAGTGACAATACAAATGACACTTATGATCTGTTAAACAATCATGTTCATCTTCGTGTTCACGATTTTTAACACATTTTAAGCCACATTGATAGCATGTCAATCCACACAATGTCCAAAAACGCTCAAGGTTATCTAATTCATGCTTCATTGCAAACCTTCCGTTAACAATATCGCTGTTATCTTGTGGGAAATTGGTAGTATTTTGCCTATACCAATCAGTGACACGTGCAACGCGACGATCAACAATATATCTAAAGAATCTACTTAAATTATAGAACCATTTCGTGTCATCGGAAGAATCTTGTCGTGATTGAACGTTCGATTCGAAATAATCTCTTAAATCTTCAGAGAGTTCGACAAAAGATGAGCTGTCTTCATATAATTGAATATCAGTATCTGGTAATATGTCATCATCAGATCCTTCGAAGTCATATAAGATCTTGGATAATTTATGCATTGGGTCTTCAATTGGCTCTCCGGTATCGTGGTTCTAGAAAAAAGTAAAAATTATAAATATCTTCTTGGATTACATATATATTTAAACGTAATTACAAAAAGAAAAAATTATTACTTTGAGAGGCTCAACATCAGGAGATTTTTGTTCTAAACCATAAGAAACAGATATTGATAGTAATCCTTTTAATGTTGCAACGCGAATTTGTATGAGGCTTTCATCTAACGAGCCCCAATCACATATCTAAAGTTACAAATATAGGCATGAAATACTTTTTTAATACAATAGAATTACTTTTTATTAGCGAGGTGCTAACTTTACGAACCTTCAATTTAGCCATGATCAACTTTGTATTTTGCAAGAAGGTTCGCGCATTATCATATTTTGCTTTCTGCTTCTCTAAATCTTTATTAACGTTAGATAAGGTTTTAAACCATCCAGCATCATTAAACATTGGCCAAGGAATGATATCCAGTCCTCCTTTGTACATCCTTGAAATAAAGTTATCTTTACCCCCCTAAAAAAATTTACAAAAATAAATGAATGAAGCCGTAATAAAACACCCTTTGAAAATAATATAATAAAAAAAAATGTACCTCAGAAACCAATTGAGAAATCTTTGACTGAAATTCTCTAACAATATCTTCTTTGTCGGCCTTGGGCACGTCTTTTATGATGATACAAAGCCTTGCCTAAATAATTAAAATATTAAAATAAATTCTACTTTGCTTCGTTATATATTAATAATATTTTGACTTGTACCTGAAATACTTTTGGATCCGGATCAAATAACATTGCGCCATCTTGAAATCTTTGAAACATTGAAGACATATCCTTATTTACTGCAAATTGATTCTGTGTTTTGAAAATATCATTAGTAAATATGTAAAAGATAGAGTAAAAAGATAATAATAAAAATAATTACCTTAAAGAGTATAATATTTGATATCACCGTATTGAAAAGTGTTAAAAACATATCTAATAGATTTATTGTAGATATTAATATCATGAATATTTTGAAATGAAAAATAACAAATTTTGTAAATTTACCTTCTTGAGAACTTTTTTCGAGAAAATTTAGCCCTTCAAAATTGAGTGTAACATAAATATATTCCTTGGTGTTAACTGTTTAAGATAAGAGAGTTAATAAGTTAATCATTACTTCATAGAATGCAATATAAAATAATCATTTGTACCTAATGACATCCAGACTCCATCAACGCATCGCTGAAATGAAAATTTATAAACTGTTATTTTTTTATTTATAAAAAAACAAAGGAAGGGGAGAAATTAATATTAACCATTGCAGAGCCGTCGAAGGTAGTTCCGACAAGATGATTTAACATGAATGATTTTCCGCAAGATTGTTCACCCATACTAGAGACAACTTTTACTTTTTTATCACCAAAATACTTAAATATTCCTTCATACCATCCAAAAGAAATATTCTTTGCTATGCTATCCACATGATGACTAGAACCATCATCATGTACTATATCATTTGAAGATAGTCCATCTCTAAGAGGTTGAAATAAATTATTTCTTGCTATTGCAATTTGTATTGGAATTAAACAACAAAGTTGAATGATCCATTCTCCTAATTTGTAATTTGAATATCTCTTCAAATGCTCAATATGAAGCTCTTGGAAAGTTATTACAGATGTGGAAAATTTCTTTAATATTGAGGTAGGCTTTTTTGTAGAACGTTTTAAACCTTCAAAAGTTTCGTTAATGTAATCCTCAAATTTCTCGCAGTATTTGTCGACATCTTCATCCTCAATATCGAGAACGATTTGCAAATTGAGAGAACGATTTTGATCGGGATCAACATAACTTTCAACTGGATATTTCTCAAACATCAATCTATAGGCATCGATAAGACCATTAAGTTTTGTTTTCGGTTCAATACGGAATTCAGTCCAACTATTAAATTTGCTTGTAGGTTTAAAATTGCCGGTAACTCGTAACTTTGTATCCGAAATAACATCAATCACCTTGAATCTTTCACCCATTAAAACAATATATTCTCCTCTTTGAACATTTTGATCGGATTGAAAATGGGTATTCTTTCCTTCAATATGAGCATACTTGTGATTAGAATCAATTAACCTCGCAGATCCGAGTGTCTGTTTTTGCTTTTGAAAACGATATTGAGTTTTTTCGAGCGTAATTTTAACTATTGATGAGCCGAAACGCCCATTTTTTAAATCAAGTGACATCAAATGGGTTTGTAGTCTATTTATACAACTAAATTGCAGGAACTCCAAGGATTGAATAGTGGGCGGTAAGTTAATAACTATTAAAAACGAGAGAGAGAGATTGATCTATATTTAATATATACAGCTTATATAAGCTAAATAGGAATTTTTAAAATTACCTTTAAAGTTTGAATATCCAAAAGTTGTACAAAAATAAACATAAGCACGACATATTTCTTTAGTTTTATTGGTAAAAACATCCGTGCCATCATCTTCACTATCGGTATATTCATTTTCAGTATGATCATCAACGTTTGCTGTTTTAGGTCCTGATTTTTCTCTTACGAATGCTACAATACATGAGCCATCGGGAGAACTTAAAACTTTGGTGGCATCAGATGGAAGATCACAAGTTGTTGGTCGAAATTGTTGATTAATAAGATTGAATATACGTGTACGTCCGCTTTTTTCAACAAAACAAAGTTCTTCGGTACTATTGATGAATAAGAAATGTTGAATGGTCGGAGCATCATTATTATACCAATGCTTTAACTGGATTTTCGGATTTCGTGGATATAAAGCTTGACCCTCAATAAAATTAAAAACATCCAACTATTTGAAATATATATAATTAGTTTTATGGATTTAAAAAAATTCATTACTGTAATTACCCAAAAGGTGATTTATATACCTCAGCTTTTTTTATATGATATATTGCAATTAATTTCTTTGAATCGTTAATTGCAATAAGAAATTTATCATCCACACTCAACGTTTTAATTGGTTTAAATGAATGCGTTGATTTAAAGTTTTGTGCCAACCGCTCGGCAGTGTCAAGGAAAATTTCAATTTTTTGCGATTTTTTATTGTAAAGCACAAGAAGGAATTTACGATTTTCAAATTGAGATATTTTCCTGTAACCAATATAATGAAATTAGTTGCTTTTATTTGAAATTAGAAGATTACGGATCATTGTTTCTCATACCTAATGTCATAAACTCGGGGATCGAGGTGAAATGAAGCAACTTCTCCACGCTTCAAAGCTATATTTGGAACATAGAACTCATCTTCCTGAAGTCGAAGCGTATCTGAATGCTCTAAAGTAGTTTCATAAATTGTAATATGTAGTTGCTCCGTCAGAATTTCTTCAATTTCATGATGGAATCGAAATCCATTCTCAGATTCTAGTGATAAAATGTAAAAAAAAATGGATTATTAATATACAAGTATTCACAAAATAAAAATTCAGCTTAAAATTATCACCTGTTATATTAATTATTTTCAATCGCATAGATCTATGTAAAGTTATTTTTTAAAAAAAAATTAAAAAAGTAGTTATAAACGACTTAAATTTGAACAATGATTAATTAAGACATACCCATTTTTATATTTTTCTTCTAATAAATCGCAAATTCGTTGAAATTCACGAGCTTGAATTTCTAGTACTTCCTTTTCAAATTCGTAATTTAACTTTTCCAACACTTGTTTATTGATAGAAGATTTTGGCAGAATATCTTTAATGTTACTCGGAAAAACAGATTTCCTCCATTTTTGATATTCTTCAAAGAAGGCACCCACGACTTTATTTTTGATCCCATTAAATCCATCAAAGAATGATAAATTCATAAATTCTTGTATGAAATTGATATCTGACGTTTCATTGGCTCTTTTGATCGAATCGGCAACAATGCGAATAATATTTTCAGGAGTGAATGAGATATTAGCAAAAAAGGTTGGTAAATTATTAGCTAGCGAACTTAACCTCTCGCCGTATTTACTTATTAACTTATGCGCATCATTTTCATCATCCATGAATATTGTATAATAAAGATCAATTGCTGATTCTGTAAGAATTTCATTAGAATTTCCATTATTTTTAATCATTGTTAATACTTCAACAATAATTATCATGTTCAAATAGTATCTTCTTTTCAGTCTAATCCAAGCTTTGGAATTGATTCCGATCTTTCCATCAATTTGTTCATCGATTTTAAGGTAATTAGAACGAATTCTTTCTAAATCTAAATTGAAATAATATATCAATAAATAAAGATATGTTTGAGGATTTCAAAATTTAAATAATATACTTAACCATAGTCATTTATATTTTCTTGTGAAGGGGATTCAAGCATCTGTTCAAATTGGCTATGAAATAAGAACCGATTAACGACCATCATCATCGTCATTATTATTATTATTTTAAAAAATAAAATGAAAAATACCTATAACTAGCGCGTAATTTTTCCCATGCCATATTCGAAATCAATTCAGAATCCTTTTTTATAGCATTCCTTTCTTGATCTTTCTTTTTTTCAAATCGCAACTTTGCAACTGCAATTGCATTACGTAAATTACTTAGAAGTTCATCTTCCATACTTAATCCATGCTTGATAAAAATCTCTAATGATTTCATGTTCATTTTTTCGCGATCGAAAAGTAACATTCGATTCCTTAATTTCTTTTGAATTTCACGAGCAAATTCATTTTGAGGAATGGTTGGGGTGGATGTACATAATCGAAAGGCTAGTTGACGAGTAGCAAACGACCGACCCGAAGAAGATTCGACGACTAGATCAAAAAAAAAATAAAAGATTAAATTGAGTAATTTTTTGTAAAAATCATTAATGAAATAATATCTTCATTTTTTAAAAAAATAAAAAAGTTGTTTACCAATAGGATGCAAAGATATATCATCATAAGCGAGATTATTTATTTCGGTCTTTACTTTATCAGGCAAATCCACCTTAAAAAAATTGACAAATTGTAAAGTTTATTGTAAATATCTTTTAGATTTGAATAAGCATCAAAAAAATTCGGTTTATAATCGAAACCTTGAAGCCGGGTTGGAGTTTAAAGTCTTCTTGTTCTTCTTGAATCAATTTCACCTCAAATTTATAATGTGACCCATTCTCGTCATCAGAGTCCCTTTCAGAATTGTCGGAACAGTCCAAGTTCCAATCAAAACTTTCCAAATCTTTACTGTCCATAAGACAAAGCTGATGGTCAGTAAGCTTTGTCAGATATCTATAGCATGAATTAATCAAATGAAATAATTTGTGATTAGGATTAAAATGCAACTTGAATAGTTCATTATGATTGATTAATATACCTATGAAGGTTGGTCATATTCTTTTTACATTGCGAGGAAGCATTTTCCTCGTAACATCCTACTTCCGGCCAATGGATTACCAAACCCAACTCGTGACTTACAACCAGCAAGTAAATACCGGGACGTAAAGTAGATTTATTTGTATTGTCTGAAGAAGAATTCGATGCAACAAGCGCTTCATAACTAAAATAATAAAAGGCAATTTAAGAAGATTAATTTAACGAGCATTGAATAAAGTATTTTATTTGTACCAATTACACACATTTGTTGATCAATAATTTCTTTTTTCTTCAAGAGCCCGGCAATTAAAGCGTGATTTCCATAACATCCAATAAGGTGAATCGAGATTGCATTTAATTTCACAAAATCAATTTCAGAAATAGACTTGAAACTTGATTGAACATAATTGTTGCATAGTTTCTCTAAATAATCCCTCGAGATAGTTATTTTATCTACTAAAAGAAATGTTATAAAAAAGTACATTGATTAAGTTCGGATACTTTTTACATTTTACAGAAAAAATGTAAGGGAAACTTACCAAATCCATTCGTCCCATCATCTTTACATAAATCTAACAAACGATATAACCCGGGAACATATTCAGCCAAGTCTTTACCATATTTATATGGCTCTCGACATTCAGATTCATTGGACGAAGCTTCATCTCGATCTTGAGAATCATTGAACGAAGCTTCATCTCGACATTCTAATTCATTGGAAGAAGCTTCATCATTGAAGTCTTCATCATTGGAGTCTTCATCATTGGAGGAAACTTCATCATTGGAAACTTCATCATTGGAATCATCATCATTGGAATCATTATCAGTGGAGTCAACTTCCATTTGGTCGATATTCCGAGTGAATCCCATTTCGTTTTCATCTTGCGTTAAATCTATAGTACTTGGAGGAGTACTTGTATGAGGACTGACAAGAACGGCAGAGTCATTCATATCCGTATACTCCATTTCCAAATCTTTATAAAAAATGAAAAAAATCCATAATTAGTTATAATGAATATCATCCTATCAATTTTAATTATCCTTCATAAAATGTGAAACAGTATATGTATAATTCATGCTAATTATCATTTTCACACATTTACTCGCGCTTCCCTTTCGGTTGATATAGACTCGTTACATCAAACTTTTAAAGCCTTGGAACCTTCGTGATCACGTGGTTGCACAATTTGTGTGTATACATAAAAACCTTAAACCTTTAAACCTTTGCCATTTCTTACCATAGCTGTTTTCTGGAGTTATAGTAGAACCTTGAACACGCATTATTAATCCTGAAGGAAATATAAATGTATTTTTTTTAAATGTTGAAGGTTGAGAGAGACTCTGAGGATAAAAACCTTGGCTTTTTATACATATATTTATAAATAAATTCAAAGTGGATAAGTAATATTTTTCCGCCGAATTTCTTTTGGAAAAATTATCGATATTCCTAGTTAGAATTCTGTAAACATTATGAAAAATCATTTCCCACGATTATTAGAACAATTTTAAGTTCTTTAATTATGTCACAAGGTCTTGTCACGATAAGCATTTCCTAATTCATTAGACAGTGAATGAAAGTTAAAACAACATATTATAATATATATAGTAATGATCAAATGTTTACGCATATTTTAGTGATAACGTGATTAATTTTCGGAGTTAAATGTTGGTTGATGTGGTTTCTGAAACAATAGCCATGCAAAGAACTATGCTTGCAATCATTAAAGGGACTTGTCATATAACGATATATCGGTTTTATCTCTTGAAGAAACTTTTTAATTTACGCGGTTTTTTGATAATTGCTTTCGACCCGTTAGTAAATATTTTATGTTGGTTCTTTACTAGATAAATCATTTATTGATATCGTATTGTATATTACCATCAAAAAAGCTATTCAATTAAAACAAAAAATATAAATCTATTTCTCCTTTCTTTCCTTCCTTGGAATTTTTCAGGGCTACGTATACAATCTTTGGACAACTTGCCATTAAAGGATTAATTGTTTCTAATACCATTGATAAATATTTTGATACCGAGCCTAATCTTTTTCATTTAGTCTCACATGGACGTGATCTGCTGATGAATGATTATTTCTTTGTAGGTAATTAGTATCGTCATTCCAAAGTATGTTCCCTACGCACCTTTAGAGTTCTAGACATTTAAAAAAAAAATAATTATGTGATGTAGCATGGTTGCAGCATTATTTATTTCAAAGGACAAAGAAACCTTCGTTTTTGGTTAGTCGGATAAAAGTTTATGATGGCTATTTATAAATTTCTTGTTTGCGAACAGGAAATACCTTTCCAACAACGATTTCTTTAAAAAAGGTTATCCTATTAAAACTAACAAAGGAACTCTCTAAACAATGTTCCCACACACAGTTAGATAAAGGCCATCAACCGGAGATTATTATCAATACATTAAAAAAAATTTTTTTTTATGTTCAAAACAATTTAAAGAAATGCCGTGAATCAGCCTTTTACCAAATAGGAAATCCTTATACAATATAGTTATCTTTCTCATCAAGGGCGAATACATTACAATATATCATAGAGGGGTAATAAAAGTCGCGATTCATGTGAAAATAAACGATCATAAATTTTCAAAATTCTTGAACGAACTCAATCACCGAGTTTGACCTGATTATATTTTTAGTAATTTTAACTGGGTGCAAACAAGAATTAATTTATGAAACTCTAATTCACGTAATTCAAACACACACTTTGTAAAGGTTTTTTTATTTTCCTCTTGGAGATTAATAAATAAAAGTTTATCAATAATCTTACCTAAAAGCGACATTGTGGTTTGATTCAAATGTAAATAATGTCAATGTTGTTTTCTACGTTCATGCCATTTCTGCGCCACTTCCAATAATAATCGTTTTTCCACTAGATAATCAAATAATATGACCAAAATTTACGACCATAAAATTATAATTGTAAAAAATTCTTGAATTTTTTGTTTTTTATGTCCAGGAAATGGCTTTACACTCCAACATTTGGGCCAAATTAACAATCCGTTATAAATAGTCATCAACAACAATTATGATTGTAAATAAAGTTTTTATTCTGTAAAAAAAGATTGTTTCATTAAGTTTCAACTTTGGAGACCATTAATTCAACGTGTTGATCGACTTTACCAATTCTATCTCTATCAATCTGTATTCCCTCGACTGGACGAAATACAAAATTTCTAACTAACATACTTAATAATATCTTAAATTCATTTAAGGCTAATTTGTTACCAATACAAGATCTGATACCAGTATGGAAAGGCAAGTAATAATAATTGTTTACTTTTTTAATTAAAGAAGGATCTAACCATCTGTTTGGATCAAAATTTTCGGCTGTTGAACCCCAAATTGATGGTAACCTTTGAAGTGCTGCAATTGGGATCATCAATGTTGTATTCTATTACAGTAAATAATTCTTTTTAATAAAATTTAAAAAAAAATAAAAATTTATATGCAACAAAAATACCTTTGGAATAAAATGACCATCAAGAACTACATCTTTATTATTTACTCGTTGAATATCCGGAGCTAAATAAAGATAAAATTCCCAAACTTAATGCATATTAACGAATAAATAAATAATTTCAACTCATACCTGGAGGTGTTAATCTTAACGCTTCCTTTACAACACAATTTAAGTACTCCAAAGAATTGATTTCATCAAAAGTGGGATTAAATTTTGACTTTTCTGGAAAGGCTCTAACTAATTCTTCCCGCAATAAATCTTGTTCATGTGGATGATGTGCAAGTTGATATAGTGCCCAACTTGTTGAAATGCTTGTGGTTATGTGTCCAGCTAATAAGAATGTCATAATCTAATTGTCCAAAAGAGAAAAATACGGTTAAATTATTTATTTTTTTTTTTACAAAAAAAAAGATTTACATAAATTACCTGAGATTTTAGTTCATTATCGGTCACTTTTTCTTCGTTAGGCAAAGTTTTGTTAAGCTTAATTAATAAAGATAATAAATCATTTCCATCCAACTTGTTATTTTTGTCGTCATTATATTTTTCTTTCATCAACTTTTTTGATTCACGATCAATAACCTCTGTCGATTTATTAAATCTTTTATTAATTTCGATTGGAACTTTTCTTATAAATGGTATGTAACCAGCTACAATACTAAGACAAATGGATGAAATGCTTGGGGAAACACTAAAAAGTGACTCATAAGCTTCAGCTAATTCACTAGGAGACGTTAGCGAATTAAACTCATGACTAAACCCTACAAATACATAATGGTTAAGAAACTTTATTTAATATGTTAAATATGTAAAATGTATATTTTCCCTTACCAACCAATCCAATGATATCCAAAGTAGCCTTTGTGAGGTAGGGAGTTAGAACAATTTTTGTTTCTCCTTCATTTACTTCGCCTTCGATCAAGTCCGTCAATTTCGAGGCCACATGAATGAAAGTTGGAATCATATTCTAAGAAAGAAAAATATTTTTTGGGGGTTTTTTTTTGAATAATAAAATGACGAGAGTGAGAAAAGAATATTACATACTTTAATGTGATTATGGGTGAAAGCAGGATTCATCATTTTTCTCTGTCTCTTGTGGCTTTCTCCTTCTGCAAGAGCAAGTCCTTCACCAAAAATAGCCTTACCATCACCAATTAACATTTTTTGTTTTGAATAATCATATACTTGATTTAAAGTGATTTCTTGTATAATTTTTGTATCTGTAAGTAAAATGCTTGGCTGATTCAATATTCCATGAAATTTTACAAAGTTTCCGTATTTTTTTGCCCATCCAAGCTGTGGTTCACCAGACTAAAAAAAAAAAGAGTATTAATTTTAATAATACAAAGGGCATAATCAACATATTTAAGATATTAACCCCTTTCGTGATAAAACTTTGAAAATTTCCGAATAGAAGACTATCGGAATTTGGTCCGGGAATTTTTCTCAGAGGAGAGATATAATATGGCGAAATATATAATAAGTAAATAACCCAACCTATAAGTCCTAATACAAAAGAAACGACAAAGTAACTCAAGTCAAACATTTTTTTTCTTTCAGTTAAAATGCAATTAGAAATATAACTAAGTCAAATAAAATTTAACCATGGTTTATATATATTATTTTTGGTAATGAACTGTCGGTAGATTTATTCTTCCGATCTATTCTTAAATAAAAAGATGCGGAAAATTTTCTTACCTGTTCCTACAGGCAGGGTATTTGTTTTTTATTCTTGTAATTTATTTCCTGTTCTTAAACTTGATTACCTTAATTTGGAACAATTATTTGATTGTATGATTCATGATTACTCATTAATTTGCTTAGAATTAGGTAAATGATAACGCCATGTTTTATTTCACAAACTGAAAGGTGTCAAAAAGAACGCGAAAGAGACTTGTTTGAACTTATTTAAGGAATAGTTTGATCGATTGTTTAGCTTACCTAATGTACTATCTCATTATCTCGACCAAATTGCAATTGTTATATCTCCTATCTTCGTAGTGAAGGAGAGTTAGTTAAAATAATTATTTTATTTATTAAACGATTGCAACGATTTATGATGTACTGAAAATTAAGCGAATATCGATCAATTAAATAAAAAAAACGAAAAGGATTTACGAGAAAGAAATAGTTTATTAATAAATAATAAGAGAATACAATAAAATAATCTATTACTGCCTCAATTTAATAGGCTAAGAAAAAGAGAAGATTATCAATTCAATAAAGGGTCTTATCTAATTTCAATTATGTTCAATCCTATTGAAAACTAAGAGCGTAACGTAATAAAGAAGTCAATTTAATTGTCAAAAATGGTCCAATTGGCATAAACTTTATTTACATCAGTCCCATTGTCCAGAAATATCTGCCTCAATTTTGGCGCAGTCGAATGTCGAGGGTAACACAATCTATCTGTTCCTTTGAAATCACGTGATAATATATATACATGGGCCTTTGTAATAGAAAGGGGGGAAACTGCCAGGAAAATTTAATTTTACTTTTATGTTCAAATTTTGCATTAACTCATTTTTGATTTTCCGGCAGTTTCCCCCTTTCTATTGCAAAGGCCTCATATAATAACTGATTTTTTTTTTTTTTTAAGATGCGATGAAACATTTATTTATTTAAATTTCAAAATTCAATTAATAAAAAGAAAATTCCTAAGATGGGTACAAAAGTAAAAAAATAAAGTAAGCACTGCTTAACCCTCTTCGAAGGGTTTAACCAACTCTGACCAAACCAACCGGTTGTCCCGTCATGTTCCTAAACAACTACTATGAGAAGTGAAGTCACTACATGACTAATGAAAAGAGAAATAGACAACTAGTTTTTACTGCTTTAAAAAGAGGCCAAGATCGACTATGAATGTAAGAATTGTAAAATAAGTTAGTATATTTAAAAGTTGAGGAAGAACTGTTGGAAGAATTGAGAAGAGAAGATGATGAAACGAGGTTATGAGTATTTTTCAGAGCTTTCTTGCAAAGTTTTTTCTTTTTTGTTATTCCAAGTTGCAGTTCAGCAGCGATAGTCAAATCACATCTGGGAATCCAAATTAAAGTAATTGCTTGGATTTGTATGTGTTCGAAAAAGTTTGAAAGAATTGTCATGATTTTTTTGTTGCAATTTGTGAAATTGTTGATGCAGAAGAATAAATGGCTAAAAACGATTCCTTTGATCATATCAACTATGTTAAACTTCATAGAAGTGTTAATGGTAGAAGTCCAGTAGTCGAAAGTTGGATTTATTAAAGCATTTAATTCGTTAGACCATACAATTTTAGATGTATGGATAAAAAGCTGGTCTTTAAGTTTAACAAAAGCATTGAGTATTATTTGATTATGTATTCTGTGATTTCTTGAACATAGCCAAATGTGGTCGAAAGTTTCTTTTTCTATAAGACATTTGTAGCAGGTCCAACTATCGTCATATAAATCAGGTCTGAAAATTTTAAGACTTTCAATTGAGAAAAGGAGCTCTAATAGGAGTTGATATTTTCGCTTGTGATAATATAATTCTTTGAAGGTAGTTTGATTCAATAGTTCAAAATTGATAAGTTGGAAAGTACAAAGCCAGTTGACAGATAGAGCTGAGTATTTAGAGTTCCTCTTTAAACTGAGAAATTCAGTGATAGTATTTGAGTTGATGTAGTCTTTGAAGAAAGGTCTGATTTCCTTATTAATAGGTATATGACGATATGTAGGAATGAATGGAATATAAGGAATGTGTTTGAGTGAGAGTGTTAAAGGAGTTTGCATCAGAACTGATTTAGTTAGACTATCTACTTTTTCATTATATGGATTTCCTGAGTGTGATTTGACTTTAACTAACTTCAGAGCAATCTGGTTTTGTTTTATAATTCTAAGTATGAAATATCAAAAAAGGTAAAAAGGAGTTTTAAGGAGAATAAACAGATATCTAGAAGCGTTTGTATTGACTAATCTATTATAAATAAGAATGAGATTTAGACTATCAGTATTAATAGTAATTTGAGAGTTAAAGGAACAAATAAGCAGTGTTAATAAAAGAGCAAAAATTTCAGCATTAGTGGAGTTGGCCCAAATAGGAGTTAAAGCAGCAGTATAACTAATTTCTATATGATTATGAACTAGTAGGAAAGTAGAACTAATGTAAGAAGTAACTGAAGTATTAACAAAAAGGTGAGAACCATCGGTATAAAATTCTAAATTATTTTTAGAAAATAATCTATTTCTAAATCTAGATAAAGTGTTAATACTTTCAAAGTCATTAAAGAGTTTATTAATTGAGATATAATCTAAATCTATATTGAGAGCGTCATTAAACACGTAAGAAACATCAGTATTATTGAGACTTTTATAACGTGCTATAGCCTGATCCATAAGAGGCCAGATTGATCTCTTTGGGACATGAAATCTATCCTCATTATTAGCCAGTAGAGAAGTTATAATAGGACAAGGAAGCATGAGATCCACAAAAGCCGCGCACGGAAGAGATTTATATTTTAATTTGATGTTGTAGTACTATTTGTTCTAATTAAATGTGCATCATGAACAAGGAACCAATACTGAAATTCGTTTGGATAGTGACCATGGGTCTAAAGTACTATTTGTAATATTAAAGTGTTGAAACAAGTACGGGAGAGCAAGAGTTTTGATTTTATAGAACTTTCCAAATATAGGTTCACCAGGAATAGGTAGATTGTAAATGTTGTTTTTATTAGGAGTCCACATTGCAGCCCATCCAATGTCTTTTGGAAAATCAATTAAGTCTGTGCAATCATATCCATTCAGATAAGTCAAATCAGTACAAAACTCTGGTTTGAGATGTATCGAATTAACTGAATTAGATAGAACAGTGGTTTTTAATATCTTGTATCAAGCCGGTATAAAACCACCCTTTGTTTAGCGTTATAAGTTTTAAAATATTATCATGAAAGTCAAATAAGAAATTTTCCGAGGCTGAAATTTGTGACAAAACAGAACCTGAGTTTTAATTAGAGATTTAATAGTTTTAAGGTTTTAAGGAACAATGTGTTGAAGTGGAAGCTCTTCTCCTTCAATTTTAAAGATATGATTCATGTGTGAACTATTATGAAAACTGAAATCGGAGTGAAAATATTCTGGCAACATATTTGATAAAAAGTTTTCATGACGAGTATGTTAAGCAAAAGATGACCAACATATGATAGGGTTGTCATATAACCAATATTGTAATTGAATTTGTTTTAATCTAATCATGACTGTCTGTCTTAAAAGCGATGCATCTGAAGAAGAGTTGATAATGTTAATAAATTGTTGAGATTTAGCTTGCATAGCATTAGCAGAAAGGTTGTTAAATCCGTAAGCAAGTTTGTTATGTAGAATGGCGTTA